TTACCTTATGAAGAAAATAAAGTTCAACATCAGTAACATCATAGCACCCACCCAGCTGTATAGAAACTCAGTCATGCTAGCTAGTACCCAGTACGAAAAAGTCAGCATAACGAAAATAAACTCCATCTAAACTTGGTTTATATCTGACCCAGATAGACTGCAGGTCATAACTTCTTACCTGAAGTCCAGTTCACCTGACAATGGGACCGGCGGCCACCGCCTCGTGTCTCTCCTCCTCCTGCCTCCCTTTTCCCTCATCCACCTGCTGGCCTCCACCACTTGCTAATATTACTGAATCTGAGAAAGCTCCACGATAGCCACCACACGAAATAGCGACCCTATCTAAATCCCAGTAACGATTAATGCGTTGCTGATTTTGGCATAACTAGTTACCGTGCTCGTTACCACAATAATAACATAGTTACTGTAACACATTACTTAATAACGCGTTAGTCCCTACACTGCTTACTACTCACCAGACTATGTTGTCGCCCGCTGTTTCTATTTAAGTTGTTTTTCTTTTACTTACCTCCAACAAGAAAGCCTCATTTCTGCTGTTCAATGCTGAACAAATTTAAACTTTTTAAAATTATGCAAAATTGCAAAATGCTTAGCTGTTTCTCTAATCAAACCTCTGTAACTTTGCTCTGCTTCATGTATACATTGAGAGCTAGCAGGAGGGGCTATGTGCTTACCTGCTGCTCTGTGGCAGGTAGCTCCATGCCCTCCTGGGTTTTAAAGGCACCTTAGAACACACATGCATCAACACTACAATGAGCGGGTGGAGGGAGGTTTGGAGTCTTCACACACCCCCGTTCTCTGCGGCCTGCTGGAGTGGGAGGGCTAGGAGGAGAAGTTGGCCGTCCGACTGGGGTTTGGAATATGGGACTTCCCTGCTGCTGCGGAGTCGGAGTGGTCTGTTTCTCCCCACCCCAGGGAAAAGGGTAACACCACCTGGGTCTGGGTGCAGTTTCCCCCTCCAGGGGCAGAGGTACCTAGACCCGGGGCTTAGAGTACGCTTGGGGAGTGTGATCGTGTGTACAGCGTCTCTTTATGTCTGTCTCCACGTTGGGTGAGTGCTGAGTAATTGCATATGAGAGCATGAGGGTGGGAATGGATGTTTGTATCTGTGTGTGCCTGTTTGTCTTTGTCCATATGTCAGGTCGGGTATCAGACGCCACCTCTCTGGGGACATCTCGGGCCCTCCAAGGTTTGGAGGCCTATCTCCCCCACCACTTCCCCTGCCAGTGGCAGACGCCCTCAGACATCGGTGCGTTGGTGGTTCTTTGTGTCCGGGGATGGGCGTCCAGGTACACACCGGCTCACTCCTTGGTGGCTGCTTGTTGGGGCCTGGAGCCTGGGGCTCCTCGGGCCACTTCGGGGGTGGGGTGCCCTCGGCCTCTCAGCCTGGGGCTCGGTCACTCAGGCACAGCTGGCTGCCGGCGGAGCTGACGGGCACGTCACTGCAACTCCCCCTGGCTTCTGCTCCGCGGCTGCTGAGTGAGCCCTCATCTGGGACTCTCCTCAGCTCTTTCTGGGACAGTGGCGCGGCTGCCCCTCTGTTGGTCTTCCTTGGTCTCTTGTGTTCTGGGGGCCTCTGGATGTCTGGAGTTTTGATCTCCTCCATACCTGCTTCATGCCCTGGAGGACGGGGCTGTGGCTCCCCACACCCTCTAGCAGATCATTACATGAAGGAACCTTTTAAAAACAAGCGCGTTCATGCTCACAGGTGTACACACGGGTGCTCACACACACAAACTACACCCTTTTTGGCTCCTACCTCAAAGCACACTGTGCGCTGTCGATCTTCGATGCTGCACAATAGTTTAATATTTAGTATTTACTTTATTTGCCATATATTCTTGTTGTTTTTTGCTTTCCGCCCTCTCATCCTCTCCTTTCTTTCTTTTCCTCATTCAAGTCTGCCCCTATTACAAGTGAAAAAAAAATAAAATAAACAATAAAAGGTGAATCAAATAGATCATTACGGCAAGTGAGCCATTTGGTATAAGTAAATCCGTTGGGCATCTTTCTTCGCCTTTAGACAATAATTCTGATGGCAAAAGAACCAAACGGGACAGGCAAAAAAAAAAAAAAAACAAAACAAAACAAAACAACAATTTGCTCTGCTTGTCTTCGTTTTTGACTGCACAATATTTTTAAGGTCATCTGATATAAAAACCGAGACCAGGAAAACCGCCTTCATGTTTTTCCTGTGTTTTATCCTCAGTTACTTTGCAACAAAGGCATCTGCTGTGATGCTTACACCTTTGATAAAGTCTCACAAGTATCAGCTTTCTTTTTATCTATAAAAATATAGATATGTACTGTTACGTTTCGGTGTTGTCAGTGTTTTGTTTTTTGCGTGACTGTCATGTATTTCCTGCTTTACTTTGAAAGTCTGTGTTATCTTAGTGTGTTCAGTTTACGTTTCCTTGTCTCGTCAGGTCTAATTTGCCCCAGCTGTGTTTCCCTCCTGTGGTCCATTCCCTGATTGCTCCTTCTATGTATTTAAGCCTTGTGTTTCAGTATGTCATGGTCGCGATCTCCCCCCGTGTTGTAAATAAAAGTTTGTTGTAAATAGCTGTAAATGGGTTTTGTCAATACTTTCGTTTGAGACACTTCCGTTTTGGGGATTTTGGTGGAGAGCCTTAGTGGGGTTTTTTTCGTGTGTTTTTTCCTTATTTTTATTTTCCTGCGTTGCACTCCGGTTGCCTAGGCCGGTCCGTGGGAGGGTCCGTGGGACCGCCCCAGCCTTCATCCGCCTTCGCTGGAGGGTCCGTGAGACCACTCCAGCCTTCATCAGCTTCGTCTGCTTCCGCTCCAGCCTTCATCCGCCTTCGCTGGAGGGTCCGTGGGACCGCTCCAGCCTTCGTCGTCTGCTGGAGGGTCAGTGGGACCGCTCCAGCCTTCATCAGCTTCGTCTGCCTTCGCTTCAGCCGTCCGTCTCCGCTGGAGGGTCCGAGGGACCGCTCCAGCCTTCATCCGCCTTCGCTGGAGGGTCCGAGGGGCCGCTCCAGCCTTCGTCGTCTGCTGGAGGGTCCGTGGGACCGCTCCAGCCTTCATCGGCTTCGTCTGTCTGGATCAAACTTTTCACTTGGGGTTACATGTTTGATTTTTGGGTGGGGGGAAATGTTACGTTTCGGTGTTGTCAGTGTTTTGTTTTTTGCGTGACTGTCATGTATTTCCTGCTTTACTTTGAAAGTCTGTGTTATCTTAGTGTGTTCAGTTTACGTTTCCTTGTCTCGTCAGGTCTAATTTGCCCCAGCTGTGTTTCCCTCCTGTGGTCCATTCCCTGATTGCTCCTTCTATGTATTTAAGCCTTGTGTTTCAGTATGTCATGGTCGCGATCTCCCCCCGTGTTGTAAATAAAAAGTTTGTTGTAAATAGCTGTAAATGGGTTTTGTCAATACTTTCGTTTTGAGACACTTCCGTTTTGGGGATTTTGGTGGAGAGCCTTAGTGGTTGTTTTTGGTGTGTTTTTTCCTTATTTTTATTTTCCTGCGGTGCACGCCGGTTGCCTAGGCCGGGGTGTAACAGTACTGATAAGTACAGAATTATAATATTTCTGACTGTCTGAGGCTAAATTTCCCCGATTCAAATCCATTCAGGACCTTGTGAATCGGAATCGAATCAATTCTAGAAATCAGTGACGATACCCAGCCCTAGTGTAAACCTTACACACTGGGTGTGTAATAAATGTCTGTACAGGCTTCTTTTACAGTATTGATGACAACCACCATCATCATCGCGGAGGGATGACGCAAAGTAATTGATGATGGTTGTCATCAATTACTTTACGTCATTCTATCATACTTAAAAAAAACAACACAAATTTAACATCAAATTATGGCGTGCACAGTGTTTATCAGCACGATAATTCTTGGTTAGTAATGTGAGAGGAGCAGTCTGAGCGCTAACGTTAGCTGGCTGCACGACTCTGAGCTTCTTCAGTATGAAATCGAGCCTGCATCCATCAACCAATGAGCATGGTCGTTGTGACCGACAGGGATGCTGCAGGAAGAGAACTGTGTGCATGACACCAACACATAACACTGTGTACATGTAAAGAATGTACGCGCTTTTTCGTCTATATTTAGTTTTAATGCAGAACAGATGTCATACAAACACATTTGTCGACACACACGCACACATTTATAGAAAGACAGGTGATGTGTTTCTATTTACATCTGATCAAATAAATAAGGAGTACATGACATCGTCACATTACTGTTGACAGTGGACTGAGGAGCAGGATATGCAGGTGGGAAGTCACATGTTGAAATCTGCCATGTGCCTCTGAACAAAGTGCTAGCAGCAGAGTCCAACACATGACTTATTAGGAAAATATTGACTTACATCAAATATGATGAAATACAACAAGGCACAAAACCTGAACTTCCTTTAAATATCAATTATTGAATAAACTACTAATGACTTTAACTGTTGAATATTTATGATTGTTAACAGGAAAAAGAGAACTTGGCCAAACAAAAACAAAAAAAATCATTTGTACTTCACTTATTTACAGTTTAGTAATTTCTGGACAGTTAATAAATCCATCACCTGTGTTTATTATTATTTTTTTCTAATGAGGCAGGTTTGGGGCTCCTTGCACTGCTCTGGCTGTCGTGAACAATTACTCGTGGTTATGTCTTTAAAGTTCTAGTCACTGGAAGGAACAGTCTGACTTTAACATGGTGACCACAATCAATCAGTGTGACCGGAAGCTGATGATCAATAACTGACACTGTGTGCAGGTATCAGGTGCGTTCATGTTGGCTTCACTGAACCGTCTTCTAGTCTCAACAGTCTGAATCTATAGCAGGCGGATCCGGGAGAGGAAGTCCTGATCGTGATGACGCCTCTCACCCCAGCCCTCAGTCACGACCAGCTTGGTCAGCTCCTCACTCTACTAGTTACCAACTCACAAAGTGCAGATCACACAAACTCTGAGGGGCTTTTCCTCTTCTTTTGGAGCCAACACATCCCCCTACAGACAGTCTAAACGCAGCCAGTCACAGAGAGTTCAATATAAAGTACCGCTCCTTTAAAGGACGGTTTGGTCTTTGTGGTTGTGTGTCACGGACACGGAGGGATTAAAGCTGCCTTCATATCAAGCAGACATTAACACAAAGAACAATCTGACCTCACCGAACGGTGGCGTTACCAACACCCCGCTGCTCCGGGTGGTCCAAATACCCCAACCAAGCTCTGGTGATTCAGAGGTGACTGTTCAAAGACTCATTATCACCAAGGAATGGGTGGTCTCTGATAAAATCACCATCGAACAAGTGAAACATGAAGGCTGTAATTTCTGCAACAAGACCTCTGAAAACAAAGAGGTGAGTCTGGTGCTGACAATGTAGACCTCCATATTTTTAAAATCCAAAAATCCATATTCTGAAATTTAAAATCAGTGATCAAGTGCTGCAGTAATTCCAAACTACTGCATCAGTCTGACCTCTGAGTCACAGGAGTTGGGGCTTCAGGGAGGTCAGGTGAAGAGGTGAAATGCTTGGCACACAGCACACACTCTACCTGGTCGCTTTTTACACCGGGAATGAATGTGAGTTTAGTGGTTAGTCCTCTCACAGTGGAGCTTTAAAGTTTAAGTTTAAGTGGCTGCAGTTTGGAGCTTTAAGCGATCCCTTAGTGTAGTCCTGATTCCACCTGGACAGAAAATGATGTAATAACCCTGTGCAAAACATGGCATCCTGCACAGAAAGGTGCTCCCATCAAGATTTCCAATAAGATATTTACATTTCTCAGATAGCAGAAAGAATTCTAACTGCAGACTTTATATACACATATGATAACTTCTTTGTTTTAATATTTCACCCCCCTGAACATTTGTGCCATTACCACATGCTAGAACAGCTTTTCCTTTCATGCTCACATAAATTAAATAATTATGTCATCATTAAAACTTGAGCAGCTTGTCATTGTTACATCTTTGGTTATAAACTGAGAGTCGTAACATGTAGAGGAGAGCTCGGACAACTCTCTCTTCAGCTCAGGCTCTGAAACCTTTCCCTCAGGTTCTTCACGATGCTCTGCTGACCTTCCGCCTTCGGTCCTGAGGTTGATCTCGTTTTCTGGGAAACATCTTGATCAGCAGACAATGCTGTGGACTTGTTCTGCTCGATTTTGGCCTTCAGTTCCTCCCTCTGTTGGTATTCGTCAGACTCCTGGTAGGCCCGGCACCGGTCGATGACAGCCATGATGGAGATCTTCTCTCTGCTGGTGGGTGAACGGATCTGGACGTAACTTTCATCTTTTTTGTCTCTGGCTGTTTCTTCTGGCTCTGGAAGCTTCTCCATGACAATGATCTTGTGTTCGGGGTCGTTTGTTAGGGGGGCCTCAGCTGCAATGTAGTAACCGTCGTTTGCCACCTGGTCCTGGAGCTTTTGCAACTCACTCATCTGAGATTCACTCAGCCGAGGATCCAGGGAATTGGCTCTGAGGAGCCGTCTGCTGCGTTCCTCTTGGCTGGCGTTTCTGTGAGGCCTTTGTGAAGAAACCCTTCTGGGAGCTTCATCAGCGAGGAAGCAGCCTGAGGAGCAGCTGGAGTGCCTCCTCAGACTGCTATCGAACTGCTCCGGGATGGATCGACTTCGACTGACTGCGCTCTTCTGGGAGCAGCTGTTGGCGGAGTACTTGGAACGGAGTTCCTGGACATCGGGCCAGTTGAAGCCTTCGAGGGGAGGAGGTGGACTGAGGGGGCTGCGAGAGTGAGGCCGGCCCGAGGAGACGCCCCTGGAGTTTCCCGCTGAGCTGGAGGTGAAGCCAAGGGTTAAAGACCTCACGTGGTTTACGGGACTCAGCGGCAAAGAAGTTGCCTGCTTATGAGAAACCAGCGGCAGAGTCAGGCTGGATTTACCTGCCAGAAAAAAAACAAAACAAACGAAACATATTTAAATCACTCTTAAATTTGATCGTTACAATGTTCCGATAACTGACAGAAATGATTAACAAAAGCCGTAATAATCCATAAACATATGTTTGGCTTCTACATACAGTAAATCAAACAATGGTACCACATGCAGCTGTGATATTTTACTTCAGCTTCAGGAAAGATGAGCTCATCACTTTAGGCTGTTCAGATTATAATCTGCCCCTAAGCAGAGCATTTTACCATCTTTACCTGAAGGTGGCAGTACAGTGTTATAACTACATGTGGTACCATTGTTTTTTTGCTTTTCTTTTCATGCAGCGGGCGCAGACTAAGCGTGTGTGGGCAGGTTGGACTGATCGGTTGCTCAACAGGAAATGGTTTATTTAAAGAAGCAGAGTTTGCTGAAGGCAGGGCATGCTCAGGCTGAGCAGGACTGAATATATACCCAGTTTTGCAAACACACAGAACAAACATTTACAACAATTAATCTCTTAACATCCAGCAGGTCATCGAGCCCGTGCAGGACTCAGAGTATGGTTAGGGTTAACATCACACTTTTCCTGTACATGGTATATAAAAAAAGATACATTTTTAATCCAGTCTCTCCTTTGTGTTATCACCTTACAGGTGTACTATCTGATATTCTAAATTAAAATTTCATATAAAATGGATAGGTTGACGATTGATAACCCTAACTGTACCTCAAAAGGTCACTGATGACCTGGTGAATGTCAAGAAGTCAAAAGAGAATTAAATACAGTTTCTGAATTGCGTTGGTTGAAGATTTAGTGGTCCTATGGTCACATAGACAATCAAAAGATAGATTTCCTTGAGGATTGCTGGTTTGAAATGTTAAGCAGTGTGCAAAGTGACGTACCCGAACCTTCCCTCTCCTCTACCACACTGGCTAAGCTCTTCTTTCCAAAGAGGAGACCCTGACTTCGCTGTCGGACCATCGGACTGGAGGTTTTGATTCGCTGACTGTACTGACGAGCCAGGTGGAGGACTTTGCTCGCCATCTTGTCCACTTCGACCACCTGGTCTGAAGCGCTACTGGGGTGGTCCTTTTCTGCCTCCACCTTCAGCTGGTTGACCTGAGGCACTGGAGCCCTGAGGACGGCGGCCTCTTCCCCAAACATCTTTAGCGTGTCCCTCACGCTTCCTGTCCGGTTCACCTCCGAGGCGTTGGGCTTGAGGGGCATAGGGCTTGTCAACTCTTCTTTGATTGTTCTGAGATCAGAAGCTCTGCTTTCATGGGAAGAGTTTTTGGTTGGGAAAGAAAGGCCGGAGGTTCTGGAGGTTACTGCAGCTTCTTTGGTTCGATCCTGCCCTCCATCTTCACTCTGGGATTTTTTGATGTCTCGCTCCATCGCCTGCCAGATCTTAATCATTTCAGATGAAGGTTTGAAGTGTTCATCATCAGAGAGATTATCCTGCACACTTTGAGACCTGGACCTCTGGCTGCCTTCTGAATCTTCTGGATCAGTGCTTCTTTGTTCAGACTTCAAAGAGTCCAAAGAGCCACTACAGCCCATAAGATCCTGGGTGTTTTGGGGTAAAGCAGAGTGTGACTCTGCATAAGTAGGGTCCACAGTGGAGGTGGAGGTGGTCGAGGTGCTGTTGAACCGGCTGACGGAGCTCCTGACCAACCCAGATGGTATGTATGTGAGGCTCTCTCTGCGCCGAAGACTGAAAGTGGCATCTTGGTTTTCAGCATTTTCATAGTAACTCTTGATTTTCCCAATGAGCAGCTGGTCCTGCTTGGACAGCGTGGAGTCCCGTCTTCGCCTAATGCTTCGGTCGCTGTCAAAGAGACTGTCATCTCGAGGAGACAACATGGTCAAATCGGACCCACCGAAGGTCTCTGCAGGATCGGCAACAAAGCTGCAGAGCCGCGGAGGTCGGTCGTCTGCTTCGGTACTCAGGCTGAGGCCGCTGCCACTCCTGCTGGGTAACCGAGGTGAAGGACAACCGAGCGAGCGGGCGTCATCCTGGGCCACGGTGCCTCGCTTGATGCTGTTGGTGAAGTGCTGGGCGATGGAGCTAGCTTTGTCCAGGACGGAGGACGGGAGGATGCTGGTGGCTTCGCCTTCCTTCTCTGCTGTCTCCTTCTCGTTGTCCTCATCATCAGAGGACTCCCCACTGCTCAAGGTCTTCAAATCTGAATCAGGTGTAGCTGAGGATGGCTCCTCTGTGGGTTCTGGATCTACTTCAGGTTTCAGGTTGTCTGACTTTCGACAGGAATTGGAGATGTTGGAAGGGGTCGGATCAGTGAAATGTTCTGGTTCTGAGATTGGTTCAGACATCTTCTCCTGTGGTAGCTTCTCTACTGCTGGCTGGACAGGACAAAAACACAGAAGCAGTAATTAGAGGTGGGAAATACAGCCATGATGCAAGAGATTACGACCACCTGCAAACACCCCCCACCCCTCAAAATCAAAAAGCACTGACAGCACAGAGATTGGGCGATCTGGAGATGGAGATGGCCTCACAACTGCAAGTCAGCGACTGAGTGTTACTTACCTGCTTAGGTGTCAGCTCGGTGCCACCTGGCTCTTCTTCTTCAGGGAGTTGTCCATTTTCTTTGTTAGAGTTGTCTGAAGAGACGCTGCCTCCCTCTGTCTCCTTCAGCAAAACACAAACAGAACAGGAAGTCAAGAAATGCTGGAGGAAAAGAAAAGTTTTTATAATATGATTTAAAAAACTCAAACCAAGAAGTCATTAGTGTCGTCCATGGAAAAGCTTCTTACTCGGTTTTAAAGAGTGTTTTTTATTATTGTGTGAACTGAACCTTTATTTATTACATGATACAGAGCAGCCATCAATGCAAATCAATGCAACAAAACTGTGAGAGGCAGCAGCAAATGTCCAGTTCATCCAACCACACCTAGAAACGCGGAATCACCAATCGTATTCATGCTCACAGCACTAAAGACAAAGATGGATGTAAAGCTGCAGGACGAATGTTCGAAGAAGCTCCCAGAGGAAAAAAAACAACAAAACAACAACTTTTAAACTTTGCAAAGATAAAAAGCCAAAATCAGTCAAAGAGCTGTTCTCATTCTTTAATACGACAGGAACAGTTTTTGGGAAGTCTTTGTTTGTTTGTTCTCCAGAGTCGGGTGTTTCAGTGCATACAGACAACCTTTGCTTAGCAAAAACATTTGATCCAAGAAAAACTGTCAGTGTGCCTCATTAATCTGCTCACATTTCACATTTCTGTTTACAATAAACAACTTCTAAAGTCAATGTCCCTAACTGAAGGAGGCACTGAAGGAGGTACTGACGGAGACACTGCAGGAGGCACAGAAGTCAATGAGATTATTTCTCAGTGTGAAAATGTAGAGCACTCGTGTTGTTGGAAAACATAACAGAAAATGCTTTTGTGATTAAAGGAGGTTGTTTTTCCCGCTGCTGTGGAATAATGTGCACGCCCGGGATTGCTACAATACAGCGCTGGTGTCCTGACCTGGTACTGATGTCATTCAGACATCAAACTGATGTCATGATCAACAAACCAAATAATGTTCCAGACACTGACCACAGTATGGCCTTCAGTTAAAAGATTACGGTGGGCAGCTGGATATTTTTCAGCTGAAGGACTTTGCATGAGGTATGTGGCATGGACCTGTTCTTTATTTCCACCTTTGAAAAGCAAACATGGGACATAATATTTGGGCAGCTGGCTCAGCGACTTTGGGCTGTACAGACACTGTGAGCTGCATTCATATCAGCAACAAACCTAAAAACAGGACCTGGTTGCTCACCTCCTCACAGAGACTCTCACAGACTTCTTCCTAAGTTACACCTGTTGGTGTGTGAATTAGCTACAGTAGTAGGTTACCCTGGATATTTATGCACATTTCTGCTTTTAATAATCACAAAATAAAGTGCTGCACCAGTCTTTGCCATAATAAGAATAATAACGGCATAAATCTCTTTCTGGTTTAAATGCTCAGTTTGGTCAACTTTTTTCTATTGTAGGAAACATCATCTTCAAATGTTTTGTTTTTAAACACCAGAGTATGTATTTATTCAAACAGCAGAGGACCCAGGATGGAACCTTGTGGAGCTCCACGTGTTAGCTAACCAACTAGCCATCAGAACAAGAGAATACTGCTTGTTTTTAAGTCTCTTATAATGGATTAGAACTAGTAGAACTCTTAGGTCAGGTGATAGGTTGCTTCTGATTGTTCCTAGAAGCAGACTAAGACACAGAGGTGACCGGGCCTTTGCGATTGCTGTGCCTAAACTTTGGACCACTCTGCCTCTTCAAATGAGGATCTCTCCAACACTCGACATTTTTAAATCCCGTCTGAAAACACATCCTTACTCCCTAACTTTTAACTGTGACTGAGTTTTTGTTTTGTTCTCATTGTGTCTTTGTTTCACTTTTTAGTTTGTACAGCACTTTGGTCAACTGTGTTGTTTTTAAATGTGCTTATAGATAAACAGATTGATAAGATTCACAGAGGTTAGGACTTTAGAGATGATGACTGAGGTCATGAGTGCTCATAAAACCTCAACATCTTTCTGATTTGATAGATGTGAGGTTTTAACAAAGCTAGCCTAGCAGTTTGCTGTTGCTTCCAGTCTTTGTACTAATCTAAGCTAAACCTTTTGCAAAGAAAGTGACCCATCTGAAACAATCTGACTGAAGGAAAACAAAAAACAATGAATTTCATCCAAATATTGTCAGTTCCTTTAAACGCTGCCCCATGTGATCACCCTGCGGTAGTTAAGTGTGCTGAACCCAAGCATGCAGCTCGGCTAGTGTTAGATGCCCATGAAGCAGTTACTTTGAGCTCCACAGCAGCATCCTTGTAGCGCATTACAGGGGCTGCGGGTGATGAAGACTGGGCTGGCACCGGAAAGCCTCACCGTCCCCGCGGCGGAAAAGAAGGCCTGGACAGTGACGTGCCAGCAGGAGATGGCAGCGAGCACGGAGCTGGCAAAGTCGTCTACCTGCTTGTCCTCCAGCAGAGCATCATCCAACTGACCCGCCTCTTCCACGCTGCACAGCAGGCGCTCTAGCGAGTCCTTCTTGCTGCCGAGCTCCGCCTCCTCCACCGTGACAGACTCCCCCAGCATGCTGCTGCTGACGGCGGCCCGCAGAGAGCGCCTGTCATCTGAGCACTGCAGGACGTCACACACTATCATGTTTCTGCTTCCTAAAACTAAAGTGTGGCTCTGACAGCAGGACTGAGCCTCAGTAACCCTCACCGAAACATCGCTCATAAGAACACATCAGAAAGTTCACAGAGTCATAAACAGAAGAAAACAGAAGAAACAGTCTTTAAATCTGAGCAACAGCAAGCAGGCGTGTGCTCAATGAGTTTGGGTCTTACCTCCAGCAGCGCTGAGAGTCCAGCAGGGGGTTCAGCAGAAGAACAAGAGCAAAAAGATTTGTTAGACACAACAGCTTTACCTGTTAACATCTGCAGCTTTAATCAGCCCAGAGAGCAACAGGCCTCAGAATCCTCACAGTGTTTTCTACCACGCTAACCCTTATTAGGTCCACAGCGGGTCAATCTGTTAGAGTCCAGACATTTTATTGAATTTTGCTCGAAATAAACATCTGCAAAATATTATAAGCGATAACCTAGAGGTCCAAATGCATGTCTGAGAAGGAAATCTAAAACCTGGGCAGAATACAACCTAAACAAAAACGTTCCAAGAGAAACTACTATGAGGACAAAAGTCACAAAAGTGGACATACTGATCAAAGATTTATCAAAATCGATTTCAATGAAATGACTTTACCTTTGTTGCTTTTCAGGGTTTGTTTGATTGGCTCTGGAGAGGAAACAAAACTGGTCGTTACACATCAATAACAACAAGATACTTTGATCAGTAATCCAGGTAATCTGATTACCTGACTGTCGGCGGCCCTGACAAGCATCTCGTGGGAACTCGTCAGAGTGGCAGGATGTGGCTTTCTTCAGGCGCTCAGGACTGTAACGGTACTTGGAAGGATCTACAGGGAAGCAACAACAACACAGAGGAGCATTTCATCACATCCTTATTAATCTTTGCTTTTATTAATCTTCTACAGCAGAAGAGATGTTTACTCACAGATGGAGTCCATCTCCAGGATAGCTTCTTTTGCCTGAAAGACACAACTAACCATTACTGGTGTCTGCACTGGTCACCTGGAGCGAAATGGGTGAGTATACTGATGCTTCTGACCTTCTGTGGGATGATGGCTTGGTGGTTTTCCACAATGATGCGTTTGATGTGATGAGCCCAGAGCTTCTTCTCCTCCACCGTCTTAGCCTGAAACATTAAAAGACAAAAACAGGGAGTGAACTCCGATCCTCTCAGGCTTAAATATGTTGGCTGGCGGGTGGAGGTCGACTCACCTGGACGGTGTGAGGCTGTTTGGGGTTTTTGTAATGCATGACGCTGAAACTCAGGGAGTCTTTGGCGTTTTCGTTGAGCGTCAGTGTGGAGCACTGAAACCAAGAGTCAGAACTAAGAATCAAACCTGCACTTAAAACAAAGACCTGAAAACCTGCAGCTCTTAGATGTTTGTCTGCTGCCACTCACAGAGATGTGCGTCTTGTAGACATAGTGCTCGCCGCGACGTTTGGTGATGAGCAGCACCCGGTCAAAGAGAAAGAGCGTTCTTTCATTTCTGGCTCGATGGACCTTGAAGTTTCCCTCCAGAACTAATTCTCCGTATGTGGTGAGATCAGGACCTTTCCAGTTTAGCAGCAGTGACTGAACCTCCTGAAGAACCAAACACAGAAACACTCAGACACTCCAGCCTTTGGTTGTTTTGGTTTGTTTTTAAGGAAGGAAGCCCTGAAACAACTTTGTAGAAAAAGAAAGTTCAACCTTTCCAGATTTAATTTCCTTTATCAGAGCAATTCAGTGCAGGGCTTCCTGTTTGAAAATGTCACCACTGGGAGCAAACTCTCTCTCTAAACTGTCACAAGATGTCAGAGCTAATAAATAGTTCTTATCTGGGACACGCCTCTCTTACATTTACCTTCTGATAAGAACTTCATCTGCACAGCCTAAAAATAGGAATGTATTCATTTAAAGTTATTTTCTATAATAATAATAATAATAATAATGTATACTTTATTGATCCCAGTGGGGAAATTCCTCTTTGCATTTAACCCATTCACCATTGGGTGCCCGGGAACAGTGTGTAGGGACGGTACCTTGTTCAGGGGTACCTCAGGGTAGCCGTTCAGTGGATTCAAACTCTCAACCTTCCGATCATGAGGCCGCTGCTCTACCTACTGAGCTATCCCTACCCCAATATTTTCTTTTCACTTTATAGTCATAATTACAGTGTGTATAGAAAAAACTTTGTTTTGCCATTAGTTACCTGGAGTCGGACAGCATGTTCGTGTTTTCTCTTCATGTCATTAATGTACCATGCCACTCCCGTCATAGTGTAGAGGGCCTCCTCTACCACCTCATAACCGTCATCCTCTGGGTCAAAATGCTTCTCTATCTCCTAAAGAAAACCATTACAAACACCAACAAATCAGCATAAAGTCATGTTCAGTTTAACCCGTTCATGCATGAATTATGACAACCTCAATCTGGATATTTTTCTTAAGTATTTTTATTCATTTTTAGGCATGAAAAAAAAGAATTTTGAACTTCATTATTTTTTAAACACTTAGGTGGACAACTGTGCATGGAGTGACACATCAGTGTCTAATGTATCAGTGTCTAATGTAGTGGTTTATGTGCAAGTATACCATCAACACTGACACAAATACCTGAAAACAGCCTTTGGATAGCTGTCCACTGTAGTGACCACTATACATGAAAAGGTTAAAACATACAATTTTATGCAGATGATACCAATTTATTTATGTAAAATGAAAGAGACACGATCACGCTGTAGCTTCAAACCAAATAACCAAAAAGTCTGACAAATATTCCCCAATACATGCTTGAAAGTATATATAGTCTAAAAAATAAAAGAAGACTCCCAAAAGGTTGATTCTGTTCATCTGGACGTTTTCAGTGGGAGAAATCATCACTTATCCAAGTGACTTCTTCAGTCTCAGCTGACTGCAGGTTTCCCCAATTTTATAAACAGTACATTTGCACAATAACTGAAATGTTCACTGAATGAACAATGGGCTGTGAGGTCAGTTCGTTGATCATTAATATGAAAATTGTCATGACCATGGATCAACAACCATTAATCAATGAACACTGATCAAAACCTATTGATCAATGGCCACAAGTACCATTCACAGAGAGTTCGGGAATGGCTGCATTCACAGCATTGTAAGATGGTGACAGATGTACCTTTAGGCCCCCTCCTCAATTCAGAGATGGGCTTTCCCTTTTCATGTGGCCTCCTTGACTCCCCGCTCAAACCAGCATTCCTCCCTGTCTTCTTTTTAATGAAGACTCCTTCAGTCTTCATTAAAAAGAAGACTGAGTCTTCTTTTTAATGAAGACTGAAGGAGTCTTCATTAAAGAGACTCCCTCTCAACCCAAACGAATCATCCACATCTGGACGTTTTTTCCAAATACCGTGGATATCCACTCAAAATTCACTTATGTGTTGCTCATATAGTTTTCAGTTAGTTGGCTAAAAAAATATAACTAAGAAGATAACTTCTGCTTTCACACCAGGAAATGTCTGAAGACACTTTAACTCTGACTGATCCTCCGGGAATCCATGTGAGTCTTCATGTGAAATGTGATGTAAACGTGGCCTTAGACATATTTGCTTCATCTCAGTCCTCTGGTCTATTTCTACAGGTTTGGATGCAGTGCAGGTGTAACTGGTTGTCAGGTGTGCTGGTGTGGTACCTGTAGCAGCAGGTGGTATTTAAGGATCCTCTGAACAGGTTTGAGCAGGTATGAACCCAGCGGCAGCGAACGTTTAAGCGAGGACTGGCGGTCCCGGAAAAATTTGGCAAGAGATTTGTTCCTCATGCACTCCGTCAGCGCCGCCACCGAACTGCAACAGGAGAGAGGAGACAGACAAGTGTGGACAGGTCAATGTGAATGAGACAAGGTTTTTAAAATGTGCTCGAAACCTAACGTATGGGAAAGCAGTACAGCTGCTGTAGGGCTTACTTTGGGTAGTTGGTGCAGTACTGTGTGTAGATGTCAAAGTACTCGCTCTGAAATACAACAAGCCAAGAGTTTTATCAGCCGCTGCTTGTACGAACCATCCTCACCCAAATCCAATCAGATCTGGTCTCACCTTGATGACGAAGCACCTGGCGATGGCGACGGGGTCGTTGTCACACTGGTCGAGATCCTGAAGCAGCTCGCTGTGAACAGGAAACACTGTCACCGTGGCGACCCCAGCAACAACAACGCTTTGCATGTCACCAGGAGCAAACCAAAGGAAACCTGAAGTTTTTCTCTCGTTTCAGCAGTTTCCTTGGTTCTCACTTCAGAGTCTGAACCCTAACGCTCATTTTAATATTTCATGATGTTCTTCTGATGTTTTGGAGTTTTTACCTTTAACCATGAAGGCAGACAAGAAGGAGGGAGGAGAGCAGACGAATGACATGCAGTGAAAGTCTCTGTTACCTTCTACTCGAATGACTCGACTAACACTAAACCAAAGGCTGACATCATGGCGGTCATGGTTATTTTTATATATACGATCTGGTTTGTGTTACGGTGTTCGTCTGTGGCTGCACCGTTCAGGAGTGAAAATGGGTGAAACGGTTTGTTCATATTTAACCTGCTGAAGGCACTCAAAGTCACAGCAAACAGAGCACTCCATGTTGTGCAGTAGAACAGCGCCGGTCTGCAAAGCAAACTCACCCCTCGACAGGAAACAGAGAGCGCTGACATGGGGGAGACGTAACATCAACGTTAACCGTTTTAGACAAAATATCGTGCTATGATAACGGACACATTAAACTTTATCTTCTTCACCTGTTGAACTCGTAGATGTCCTCGATGTTTCCAAAGAGAGCGCAGACCAGCTCAGGACAGATCGACAGATCCGACTGGTCGGACTGATCGATGATGTGAGCCAGGTAGTCCTGCAGGGCAGGAGGGAGAGGTTAGTAGAGTGGACGGAAGGAAGGAAGAGACAAGCAGGGAAGAAGAGGATAAGAGGAAGTGACAGAAAGGTCAGGGGTCACTTTTTAAAAAGCTCAGCGTCAAATAAAACACCCTTTAAAATAAACTGGAATGTTTCCATTTCTCCAACAGAAGGCAGACTGAACGCTCACTGAGCTATACCACAGTAATCTGATTACTTCTGGCTTGATCAGAGATGCAGACTGTTTAACTCCTCTCTGGAGGGGAGAGGGAGGGGAAACAGGAGGACAAAGGAGGGGGGAACAACTAAGCTGTAGTGCCTCTTCACCTCACT